CTCTCTCTCTCTCTCTCTCTCTCTCTCTCTCTCTCTCTCTCTCTCTCTCTCTCTCTCTCTCTCTCTGTGTGTGTGTGTGTGTGTGTGCATGTGTGTGTGTGTGTCTGTGTGTCCTGCGTGTGGGTCTACCTTTTTCACTCTCCTTTTATGCGAGAACCTCAGAAAGTTCTAAGGGACACAAAAAGAATTGTCAGTGTACTTGAAAGCAAGCCTGAATGTGTGGTCTGTGCATAATGCCGCAACTTGCATGGCATAGGTTCTCGAGCGGAAGGGACTTGACATTGTCCGGCGTGACTGGAGTGTCATTGCTAAGGAGTTGGGAAACTTCTGTCTTGAACAAATCTTCTCAGGCGGGTGAGTGGGACCACAGTGCTTGTTTTCTCTTACCTCTGATGCAAAAGATAAAGAGAAGGAAAGCCAGATAAGCCAAGAGTTGGAATCAGACGTTTGCACAATTTGAAAAATGATATTTTCTCTGAGTACGGACGCCGCCCGGCCGGGCGGGGCCAGGTGGGCCGCCCGGGCAAACCGGGCTGGCAAAAAAACAGCCCAGAATTTTTTTATTTTTTGTTTTGAAGGCGGGGTCCTCCTGTGCTCGGCGAGAGGACCCCGAATCTGCAGTAAAATTCTGGTTTGGGGAGGGGACGGGGGGATACCAAGTACATACTGGGTTGGGAGCTCGGCATGTTTTGTGGGTTTGACAGGCCGACATGTCAATGCAATGACTTGCTGGTTCCAGGTTGCCTGTAGCCTCTCTCTGACGAGGCTGTACCATGCTTAGGGACAGATTCGTAATTTTGTTTGGCTGAGGACTAACCGAGAGACCTGCCTGTATGGAAAATTCGTGAGGGACATATCTGTAAATATAGAAATATGGGCCCAGTACTATCTCGACTTTCCTACAGCTACCCTAACTGCGAATAGCAGACCCAGGCTACCCCTAGGACAGACAGGCCCTATGGGGCTACGCTGATAGACGCTCCTATAGCCTATAGCCGGGTAGGGTTAGGCCCTAGAGGCCGAAACAGAAACGGTACCGGTCGGTCAGTCAGTCCGGTCTAGGTCGGTCTAGGCTAGTGTTAGAGTATAGATAGGATGGGGACATCGGTCCTGGGCTTTTGGCAGTTGACACTTCGTGGTGGAAGTTGCTGCGCAAACGGTATCAGGTTGTGGTTGCTGATTCCGGTGGTGGAGACGGCGGACATAGCCAGACCTACGGAGCGCTGACCAGACTGGGGTCAACGCTGTGCGCTCTGACTCTTTGGGAGCCAAAGCGGTCTGGGCTATCAGAGGTCTGATGCGTTGGAGCACGTGGTGCACTGCTGACCCTCCTCAGGAGTAGGGTCCCAGTGGCGATGCAGCCGTAGCTGCATCTTCTCAGAGGATACCATCGTCTGGTCTTCATCTTCATCAGGGACTGTTGGCGCTGAGCTTCTTCTTCATCATCTGGGTGGCGATTGGCTCTGGGAGCCTGTTTCACTTTGGCGCAGGCCATTGAGTTGGATGTCAGGGTGGCGCTGGGTGTTACTTTGGGTTTCGGTGCTATTTTTAGCTGTTCCAGGTGGTGGGGTTGAGGCGCTACCCCTTTGAGGGTAGCGCAACAGGGTTCTGGGGTTATTCAGTGAAAACGATGCTCTGAGTTTAATGAACAGTTGTAATACTGTGGTTGAGTTGTCATCTCTTCATTGGTTTCTGGCAGTGATCACTCGGTTGTCTTCCATGAATGATTGTTGGGACTTCTGTGGAGAGAATTCACTGAATTGTGTATTCTGTCACTTCGCTTCTCTGAGTCTTCCGCTGCGTTTTCTTTTCTGGGCGGTGTGACCCTCCACTACCTCTCCCCTTCCTTCTGTGCATGTATGGGCGTGTACGGGAGTTCCTGTGAGTGAGTGTTGATAAAATGTCAACAGACAATCATGTTCATAACATCAACATGATGAGGTATAACAAGAAAGAGAAGAAGAACAAGACTGATAATATTGATAGGAACAGGAAGAAGAAGATTGACACACTGAGGACAGGAATACAATTTTTTGACAGCAGAAAGCATATCGGCAGCATGATCAGCTGCATCTGGCCAATATTCATCCACAATGTAACAGACATCTCGCTTTCTCTCTCTCTCTCTCTCTCTCTCTCTCTCTCTCTCTCTCTCTCTCTCTCTCTCTCTCTCT